GCTTAGCATCAAAATTTTTGAATAAACAAGTATTTATACAAAAACATTTTTTTTTAATATTTTGGTTAACATTTGAAGTTTATAGTAGATAATTTGATTAGTATAGAGCTATATTTTAATTAATACCCAATTGGCATGTTAGTCATAATTATTAGAATATATTGGTCAAACATTCATAATAATTATTCAAATTATGAGAATGTTTGAAGACATCTATCAGTGTTCTGTCATACATCTCAACCTTCATTACCTGATTATTTATTTGTAATTTGTCTATTACCTAATTCTTTTTAATTATTTGTATAAATTGATAGGTGTTTTATCATTTCTCATTTCATCAAATAGTTTTTTCATTATATAATTTTTGATAATGTTGAAAATATATGTTTTTAAATGGTCTGTAACTAAACAATGCATTAAGTAAAATATGTTTGAAATATCTTTTTTAACATGATTCTGCTGAAAAATTGAAATTGCTAGATGCTAGTAATGAATGGGCATTGTGTCTTCAAGCTTCATTTTTCCATTTTACCAAGACAGCCATGAAATTTGCTTTCATTTGTATATATTGTGCATCAAATGTCAATGAACTATGGGTATAGAAATTTAGAAATTTTTGAATTAGCACTTCTGGAAACAGAATATTTTCAGGATTGATGGAACATTGCTGTATGCTTAATTTACCAAAACCACAAGGTGGTTTCATGGAGAAATGCATATACAATATTGCTGGAGAGGAACAGAAAGCAGAGAGATCATATACACAGTTGAAAGACAATCAGCATAAAATAGTGGATGAAGTACTTCAGCTTATAAACAAAAGAAAAAATGGTGTTTTCTTTATTGATGATGTTGAGCTATTGGAAAAACATTTTAACAGGACATTATATCAAATTATCAGAAAAGATTGTATGGTTGATGTTGTAGTTCAAGTATTGGATAACTACACATTAGAGAGGTTGAGGCGCACGTTTTAAACGTGTACGTGTGACGTTCGGCGCCGCTTTCCCGTAAGCATAAAAGTTTGACGATGGTGTTTGAAATGTCGAGCGTGATTCCACCGACTATCCAAACACCATTGTCAAACTTTTAGGCTTATGGGAAAGCGGCGTCGAATGTCACGCGTACACGTTTACACGTTTAAAACGTGTGCCTCAACCTCTCTATTCTTTATTTAAAACATCAGTATCTAGAATTTGAGAAAATTCAGAAGCAGATATTTTTTGTAAAGCATCACTCATAATATGGGATGAGATATCCATGGTACCCAACGAAGCATTGACAGTGTGTGATAAACTGTTGTAAGATATTATGAACAACAATATACCATTTTGGTGGAAAAGTTATTGTTTTTGGAGGTGATTTTTGACAGATTCTTCCTGTTGTTAGGCAGGATAGTTGTCTACACATTGTTGAATCCTGTGTAAAGGGCAATAAGCTTTGAAATATTGTTAAAACTAGGAAACTTGCTTAAAATATATGAGCAGCAGATTACAGTTGTAGTCAGTGGTTATTGAAATTAGAAGGCATACTATCCTTATATAAATATATCCTGAATGTATTGAAATACCATTTCAGTGTAAGAGTGATTACAATAATTCTATTCAACTTATCTTTCAAAATGATCAAATTAATGTTACTAATATTTACAATCTAGTAAACACTACTGTACTTTGTCCAAAGAATGTACTGAAATAAGTAATTCACTTGTGAATAATTTAGTCCAAGGGGATTCCAGGATGCTTTGTACTACGGATTCTGTACAACATAGGTTTAGTAAACAGTTGTATCCTCTTGAGCTTTTAAAGCAGTTTGTCACCATGAAGTTTGCTACCATATTCACTTCACTTAAAGATACAATATTATAATGGTAATCAGAAACTTAAATGAAATTGAGGGATTAGTTAATTGAACAACAATGATTGTAAAAGACATGAATCTTCCCTAGAAGCAGAAGTAATTCCCAGTAAGAAAAATGTTCTCATACTGAGGATTGATTTATGTCCAACAAATCTTACTGTACTTTTCAATCTCTTTAGAAAACAATTTCCAATAAAAATAGCTTTTGCCCTGTCTAGGCTAGGGACAGATTTTTAAACATGCTGGACTATATCTTTCTTCATTTGTTTTTTACTCATGCGCAATTTAATTTATTTGGCATTTTCAAGTGTGTTGTCATTCTATAACAGTGGTAGTCAACCTGGTCCCTACTGCCCACTAGTGGGCGATTTGAGCTTTTGTAGTGATCGGTAGGGGTTTTGTCCAATGCCAAACTACTTTCCATTATCATTGTGCATCTATGACTCACTGATAGAGCAGGTTGTACTGTAACAGTGGCCATTATTCAAGTTGAACTAATTTTGTGATGTTGCCAGATTTAGTGGTTTTGTGGTGACGTTGCCAGATTTGGCTACGTTTTTCAGTTTGATATAAAAAAAATATTTTGCACACTGGCAAAAAATTTCTGTGTATTTATAAACATGTGCAAAATATAAATAAAGAGATAAATTTAACTACATATTTTTACTAAACTGCCACTCAAAAATTATGAGTACTTTGCAGTTGCGCTAAATTAACTTACTGCGGAACTGGTGGGCAGTTAGAAAATTTTACTACCAACAAAGATACAAAAGTGGGCGGTAGGTATAAAAAGGTTGACTATCCATGTTCTATAATATTCTTGATGTCAAACATTGTATCAAGAGATATTGTACCATGAATTGTTTTATATCAGATTGATTCAAACATTCTCAGACAGACACAAGATACAAAACCTTATTGATACTAAAAGACAAAGACATGGTCATTCTTTGAAATAAAGGTAATTGTTAGCTATTATCTTGACCCATTTTTCTGGAAGTTAGTGGATTCCTTTGAATACCATTAGGCTTGTTTTAATGTCAAAACTCACAAACCCCATTATGAGCATCTTGCATTGTATTGAAGGAACATCCTTGCAGAAAATGTGTCAAAAACCAGAAGAGATGAAAATCTAATGGAGGAAGGTCAGGGCTGTATACTGTGTAAGGCAAAACTTCAATCCCCTCCAACACCTCTTAACTTTTCTAGGACCACTCTGGAACAATGTGCCAGAACATTATTGTGCTGCAGCAGCGTATGCTTTTGATTAAACAGTGCTGGATAGCAAATGCACAGGACTTCAAACACCCACCCCAGTTGCTCAGTATAGAGGTTGCCATCCATGATCCAGCCATTGGGAATCAGCTTCCAATGCACTGGACCATCCAACTTCCTCCAAATGTACAGTATGATTTTTTGTTTGAACCACTTGTGCTGGCACTTCACCTCATTAGAGCCACTGGTTTCCTCTATTAGGATTTCTGAAAAAGTTGCATTTTTCATCTCCCATTACAATTCTTCACCAGAATCTGTTGTCTTTTGGATTTTGCAACATGTGTTTGCAAACTTGTATCCTCCTTTGTGCCTGCTGCTCCATCAGTTCATGTGGTACATCTTGACCTCTTCTACTGGGAAAGCTAAGATATTTCAAATGCTAAATAATTGTTGATTGTGAAGCCCTGACTTCAGCAGATAGTCGACGAGGACTGCTGCTTGGTTCCTGTTAAACAGCTTGGAACAGTGCTTCATCATTAATGGTTGATGGTCATCCCGACTGAGGCTTGTCTATGAGGCTGGTATTCCAGAGTTGAAATTGAAATGGCAGAATAATTCAACTGTAGTTGTCTTGCTCATCAGGCCTAGGCCTTGAAGTTCACAAATTTTCTCTGCTGCCACTCTTTCACTGAACCTTTGTTTCCAGTAATGAAGTAAGATGCTTCAAATGATGAGTCATTCTTTCTTGTGGAAATTAATATTTGCCAAGGGGATGAATGCAATACCTCTATAAAATGATACTATGTGCTTTGATAAAAATACCAACTCATTTTCATTTACAGCAGTGTTGCCAGTGCTTAGAGAATCATTTTTAAAAAATATCAGAATTTAAATACTTAAAAAAAAAAAGCAAATGGTTTCAAGAATTTATCATGACTTTAAATGTTAAATTTAAAAAAATATATTGAGATGATTATGAAAATAAAATTGTTAATGATCCTAACCATTAATTTTTATTTTTATGATTTTTATCAAAATTTCCAAATACTGATGATCATAATTTGTGATTATCTTTCAAATGAATTTTGTTTCAAAATAACTTAAATAAATTAAAAAGTACATTTGAATTCACAAAATCTTGATAAGGAATTTCTTAGATTAAATGATTATTTCAAATTTATTATTTTTGAAAAAGGATTTAACTTGTTTTGCATTCTTGCATTAAAACAAAATTGTTTGGGATATTTTTTTAAAATAAAATCTAGTAGTAATTTTTTTTCACATTTTATTTTTGAAAGGTTTATTTGTGATAAGTACTTTAAAATGTACAGTACATTTTAGTTTTACAATAATTGAATATTATTTTTATTAAATGTAATCATTATTATTGATTTTTATAAATGAAAGAAAAAATAAAATTTTATTATTAGAACTTTAATAAAACTTCAGTTTTAATTTTTGTTATGAAGTAATTAAATGTTTACTAAAATAAACAAATGTATAAACAATCAGTGTTTTTAGTAAAATGAGTCTTTGGGTTAACATAACTAATTTACATATAAATTCCATAATTTTCTTTTTATTTTTGTTCTGTTTCTCTCATTTATACTTTTAGACATTTTTAACTATGGTTGTCCTCATTATTTTAATAGCAGTTAGCTATTTAAAATGTTCTCTTATGTGAATTTGGAATGATGATTTATTATTATTTGTTTATGAATTAATACTTGTAAAGCAAGTAAAAAATCAAAATAATTATTCTAAAAGTTTAATTGACATGAAATGCTTTGGTAAATTCTGATAAACTCCTATTGTTTTTGATATAAGAGGTAAAAGAAATTTGAAAATATTTGTAGTTTTAAATTTTATTAAAAATATTTAACTAATAAATAAAATGTTAAAATAAATATTTATTATTTATGCAGGTAATTATGATAAAGCATCTGAAGTTTTGCTGAATCTTGAGTACAATATTCCTGAACTGTTAGAAGCTACTTTACGGAGGATAAATCTGGAACGCCGTAGACAGAATCATCAGAGAGTGGAAGAGTTATATCAGGCGTGTATGGCAAATGCCAAGACTATCCATATGGGATCGCATTTCGCCATCAAGTATTCAAGATATCTTTACAAGGTACTAAAGATATTCATTCAAAATAAAAAGGCACCCAATCTGTAAGGATATTTAAGTTGTAATGTATGACCTTACTTCTTAGTATTTCAAACCCTTTTCACTCACATGGTAATGTTGGGGTTTTTATTGTGTAAAGGAGCACAGCATCTCTCGATAGTTGATTTGGCTAGAAACCTGTCCCTCGAAACAAGGCTGGCTTCCCAAGGTAACATTGCTCGAAATTTCATTACCGTTGCCCCGAGAGAGAAAACATGATTAATTACCGTCTGCTTTGCTATCGTTTATTTTAAAAATTTTAATTCATATTTTTTTATTTTCAGGTCCGTGGTGAATTTGACAGAGCAGTTCAAGTGCTGAAGGAAGCGATCCAAAGAGATCCGGTAAGATTCATCACTTTCTTTTTATCAAACGTTAAGGCTAGGCTTCCCCCTGACCCCCATACATTTAAATTAATTCCCAGTAAGTAACACTTCCACTGCCTAAGTGGAGTTAACAGCGTATGACTCTTTCCAGCCTATCCAGGCATTTGGTCCATCCCGCTGAACGTGTTTATGTAATTATCTGCAGAGAAGTTTGGATACTAAAGTCTTTTTACAGTTGAGGTTTGATTCTTTATTATACTTTTAGCATACTTTCCTTACTGCTGGAATCTGACAGTCCTTATAAGACGCAAAGTTACTCTCGTTTTTTTCCCCCTATGCAGGCTTTGATTGGATAAAACATTCGTCGAGTGAAACATGTTGCGTTGGCTGTCAGCCTGAAGAGGGTATGCTAAAAAGAACAATGGTTTAAGTATAAACTTTGATGTTTTGTTTTTTTTTCTTTTGTATGCAGACAAATCCAAATCTTTATATGCAGCTGGTGGATGCTGGTTATCAGAGTTCTCCCATGAATGAACAGCAGATTACTGAAGCATTTGATGAAGCTTTGGCTAGTGAGATGGACAGTGACCAGAAGATGCTGTTTTCTCAAAGAAAATTGGAATTTTTAGAAGACTTTGGCAATGATACAATGCAGTAAGAATTTTTAACTATTACTGTGTTTAATTTGTTAATTTTATTTTCGTAATTAAGAAATAGAAAGTAAAAGTTATATATTTCTCTTTAGAATCAAAGAAGCTTTTGAAGAATATTCTAAAATGATGAGAAATCATATACCTGGAACTAAAAAAAGATTACCAGATAGCAGGTAATTTATTCTAACACTATACATTTTCAATATTTTTATTTTGAAAATATAATAGCTAATTTTATAAGTAATTAATAGCTTGATATCTGTTACTATGTATTCTTGTTAAAATAATGTATTTTGCATATTGGAAAATTATTGAAATCAAAATTTATGTAAAGGGAATTCATAAAGTTAATTATTAAACTAAGTACAGAATCTCAGTTACATACAGTTAAGTTTCTATAAGATCTTGTATAGTACAAAACTGTGCTATATGAGATGAAAACATAGTATGAAACAGAAAATTAATTTCAAATGCTAGCAAAATACTTCATTTCAGCTTTATAACAATTGTAGCTTCATTTTCTATGCATTCAAAGCTAGAACTACTTAAAATAAGTAATACAAAACCTTTAACAAACAATAACAAACTTAGAACAATTCAAACAATTGAAATCTTTGCAAAATCCCTCAAGGGGAATTGTATCAACAGCAGAGATGCAGACTCGCTCTCCTCCACATGGAAATCACTCTTCGATAACCCCTTAAACTAAATAGGCCAATCCGCCCTCATCAAGCCTGTCACAATCTTTAGAGCATTTTCTTTATTTTTCTTGTTTGTTTTTTTCAATTTTAGCAATTATCTTATCAATAGTTGTTTGCACACCTTAGATAATAATATCAAAAGAAAATTAACGACATCAATATCGTCTAAACTTTGTTATCAACAATGATGTCACTAGTAAGAATAAACCTTTGTAAACAGTGATGTTGTTTGAATATCTGCTAACCGATGTTCCAACTGACCTTATTGTACCTGAAGAAGGCCATTCAAAATGGCCGAAAACGTTTGTACTTAGTGGTTAAACTGCTAGAAACAAAGTGTGAAAGGTTTTGTCTTACTTATTATAGCTTCATTTTTATTAAAAATAATAATAAATGAACAGATATCTTAGAAAATTATGATACATGTATGTCAGATAAAGTATGTTCATTTAATTTTCATCCTCTACCACTGATAAGCGAAATTATATATCATAACCCCTTCTTTTAACTGAGCAAGTTCTACTATTGCACCAATTCCATTTTCTGCTGGTTCAATCAAATTTCCTTAATGAACCGGCAGAAAATGGAATTAGTAGAACTCCATACATTTTTTTCAATGTGCATTTAATGGTGGCTTTATTTCTGAGTAATAAAGGTATGATTCTGATACAATCCGTAATTGAATGTTTCCATGTCTTTATCACTTCAATAAATTCAGAATTAAATTTTTCAGAATTTATAGTAATAATTTTCTGATGTAATAAGTCTTAAAGGAAGACTAAATAGCGTCAAGATTCACCTGAAAAAATGTTGAAAATATCTGACATAATAGCTGGAAATTCTCCATACAAAAGGTCAAAAATACTGTTTTGTACAAGATTCTAACTACCTTGGAACAAAAAACTGTGTTGAAATACTATTTTATGGGAGGGTGCCTCTATATAATTTTTAATTTGAACAACAATTGTGAAATGAGTATTTAAAATATTTTTTTACATTGTTTATTTGGAAATTGATATTTTATTTAAATATATGAGGGTGATTCAGAAAGTAACCTTAATTATTTTATTGACAAAATATATATATATATATATGAATGAAAACATTTCATAACTTTTCCAATGTAATTCCCCCCATGATAAAGTGGACTGCACAATCACTCATGCACCACTTTATCATTTGTACTGAAGTTTTTGCCACCAAAAGTCTCCTTAAGTGTGTGAGGGCCTGGACTTGGCAAAAAATTTTATTCAAAAGTTTCAAAAAAAGAAAAACAACCAAAAGAAAATAAGTTCAAATATTCCTTGATACAAAATTGTTTTTCTCAACTACAGTTAGCAGGAAGTGATTCTATTTCCTACAGACTTGCTTTCTTGTCCAGAGATGACATCTGAAAGTGTTGCTTTTGACTGTATCGGGAACATAACATTAAAAAATCATTGTTGGATTAACCAACCAACATTACCTAAAAAAGGGCATTGAAATTAAAGGGGAGGACCCCAAATAAAAGAAGAGATTGATGATGACAAAGGAGTTCGTCATCATTGAGTGTTCATTCCAGATTTGGATATACTGTCTATCAACTCCTCACCATTGATTGCCACCAGGGACCAGATCTGACCCACAAGGTGCCCATACCAACATCTTATTTAGCAAAGCTTATCCTACTCGCCAAGTAGCAATACCATTCTCCTATGGGACAAATCTGCCTGCAAGTGTACAAATCTCCTCAAGTAGCTTACAACTTTAGGTATTTAGCAACTCACGATCACTTGTAAACTCTCTCTCTCTCTCTCATATATATATAATATATATATATATATATATATATATATGCAAGCCTCTGTGTTAATAAACAAGTATTACAAGTGTTAATCTTGCTAAATGAATAGTGGAGGTCAACTTCTTTCATGTGTGCAGTCTCTTGGACCACCTCCATCCCAAATCTGACTGCCTGCAAACACAATCACTCGCATATGAACACAAACAAGTTTCTGTGTCTACCCAAAAGACAGTAGTGTCAGAATCCTGACATAGGCATTGCAGACTCAGGGCCATATTCTTGTTGTCGTCTCTCCTCTTTCATCTTTCACAAGCCTGTTGCTGATTGGCTAATCATTTGTTTATGTCTCGAGAGATCATCACATCTCTCCAAACACAATTTTGGACAACTTTTTCTCTCAACGATTCTCTTGTTTGTCAGATACAAACAGATAGACTGGTCTTTCGTCTCAATTTTGTTATATATTTAATATGGACATCTGGATGCTACAATCGTATTAGAGAATGTTCTCTATCTCAGGAAAGAATATTTCAAGAGAAGAAAATGCTTCTGATTTTTTTCCAGTGCCTACCCGGAAATGCCACTAATTCCATTTTTTTTATATTTATTATCCTACATCAATTACTGAACTATTGAATATGATGTTAATCTTACATAGATAGTTAAGGAGAAATTAGATGGTAATATTTCAAAAAATATCTAAGTACACACGCTTTTTAAATTAGGTTATTAAAATTTTTATTTGTAAAGAGACAAATTGACATTACAATCTGTAAAAATGTTATAAAACAAAAAACATACATTCATCAAAATTACGTACTTTATTTGAACACATGCTTTCCTTGCCATGTGATTTATGATTATGTACTTTGCACTTTTGAAAATTTTACAATTTTATTGGTTAAAATTCTATACCGTGTTATGCGCACAGATAACCCGAACATGTATAATCAACCTAATAGTATCGTGACATTGTCAACGAAGATGAGATTGTTAAAAGTGATCAGAATTGCCACTGTTTCTGAGAGAAGAATTTCATCTTTCATTTTGACGTCATTCATCATTGAAAGAAGAGACGAGAGATAAGTGATCAGAATACGACCCCTGGTGCTGATTTTAGTCAAGTGGTGCAGAAGCATAGGACTGCTTCGTGCATTACCACAAGTGGTCCAAATATATGATGATCATTTGTTGCAAGATCAGGCAAATAAGGGGGATGTGGAAGACACTCCATATGCAGACTATCATATGGCCATGCATTATTAAGCTATAACAGTATACCAGAACTGAGCAAACCACAATGTTTGGACCTTATTGTGGGTTTCAAATGATTCTGAAGCAAGTCACAATATGCTGCACTGTACCCTTGGCATATAATGTTCCAGAATTGAAATCCTTACAGTCTCAGAAAAGTATGAGCGTTACTTTGCCAGCTGAAGGAGTTACGTGAAATCTTTTTGGTTTTGGTGATGTGGAATGTTGCTACTCCTTGCTCACTCAGTCTCTTTCTGAAAGTAATGAACCCATGATTTATCACCAGTAACTATGCATTGCAGAAAGACATCTCTCTCAGCTTCATACCATTACACCAATGTTCAACAAACATCTACATAATGTTCTTTGATTTCTGGAATAAGCTCTCTACCCATCTAGCAGAGACTTTTTATACTTGCAGCACCTTGCTAATAATGTTGTGCACTGAACCATGACTAATGGACACTATTTCAGCCACTTCATTGATTGTCACCTGCCTGTCTTCTCTTATAACTTGTTCCACTGCAGCAACAATACTAAGTGTAGTTGCAATCTGAGGCTGACCAGAGCAAGCCTCACCAGTCACAATTGACACACCACTTTTAAATTTTCTGTGCCATTCATACACTTGTGATAACCATGTATCCCTGTACTGCTGTTTCATCCTCCAATGAATATCAGCCAGTTTTTTACCTTCACTACTTAAAAACTTGATAACTACATGCTGCCATCTCTGTTAAGGTTTGCTTGACATCATCATCCATTTGATGATGATGTCAAGGCTTACCTGCATCGGCTGAATCTGCAGTTTGAAAACACATCTCTAAGCTATCCCAATGAAATTTAAAAGTTTTTATGATCATATTAAGGTTACTTTTTGACTGACCCATGTACTGTACATATTAAAAATTTAACGATTACCAAAGTATCATAAATGAAGATACTGTAATAACAATAAATAATTCTGAAAATTAGCAGTTTTTCAAACTTATTACAATATTTAATATAAAATACAAAATTAATATTTTATTAGTATTTCATTTCAAAGTTATATTTATAGGAATACTGAATGAACTTGCAGTTTGAAAAGAATGAAGTTAAATTTGAATTCAGTAACAGAAAGTATTATTTAATGTTGAAAATAAATAATAAATAGATTTGTCATTCATATCTTTATATAATCAAATTTAAAATTCTGTACTAAACACTGTATGATACGCACATGCAACTCAGCGTGCCGATTGGCTAGTGTATGTCGGATTATCACTCCTAAACTTATTATCATCACTTTGCCCAACTAGGTCATAGCAGTATTCATAATGACCGGTCAATTTGATAAATTAATCAATATTTATCACACTGCCCGCCCTATTTGGTCATTATTCATAATGCCCGATTAATCACTTTGTCCATAACATATAAATAAAATCTATGTTATTTTTAAAAGTTGTTATCATTTATAACTTATCTTTATCATTTAAGCTGATTAATAGACAGAATTAACCTAAATTATAAATTTTAACCACAAGAATAAAAATATAATTGTAATTATATAATTTTATAATTGTCACTTGAAAATAAATAAATAAATATATAAATTCATCATTATTAACTTGTAACTTAAAAATGTTAAATTTAAAAAAAATGCCAATTCATAAAATACAATTTGTTAAGTAATTTACCTACATAAAGTATTTCTTAAAGTATATTGAAAACCTTAAAAGAGTGTCTGGGATTAAGTAAAAAAAAAAAAGAGGAAGNAGATATCTTTACAAGGTACTAAAGATATTCATTCAAAATAAAAAGGCACCCAATCTGTAAGGATATTTAAGTAGTAATGTATGACCTTACTTCTTAGTATTTCAAACCCTTTTCACTCACATGGTAATGTTGGGGTTTTTATTGTGTAAAGGAGCACAGCATCTCTCGATAGTTGATTTGGCTAGAAACCTGTCCCTCGAAACAAGGCTGGCTTCCCAAGGTAACATTGCTCGAAATTTCATTACCGTTGCCCCGAGAGAGAAAACATGATTAATTACCGTCTGCTTTGCTATCGTTTATTTTAAAAATTAGTTGTTAATAAAATAATAATAAAGTTTTATAAAAAAAATTAATGTTAATAACAATTTATTTTAAATATTATGCTTTAGTGATGATATTTATCAAGATAAAAAGTCAAAACTGGATATAAATGGTACTGTGAACAGCACTGTTGCTACTACTGTTCAAATTCCTTCAACTCAAGATACTACAGCTTACGCATATCCACAGTCTTGGCAAAGTTATGCACAGGTACATTAAAAACTTATTTTTAATAAAATGTAGATACAATTTGTGTATGTGGAGTTATATAGATACTTAGTTATTTAAACTTACATGTGTTGTTATATTTTTTGTATATTCTCCTCAGCAGTATTCTTGTCTTGTTTCTCTGGGATAATTACAACTTTTTACTGAAATAAATCATAATCTCAATATAAACTATGCTGTAACTAAATTTGTCTAGATAGATTCTTACTCGACCATATTTGATGATATAATTAAGAAATTAGACAAGATATAGATAATCTAGTAATCTTAAACTTGGCTTGGCATATGCAGTTTGAATATAGGATGTAAATAACTTGTTACTTCATACTTAAAATTAAATTTTTAACAGAATCACCAGCATTTGTAGTTGCAGTCAAAATACATTTTAATTCATTGTTTTTTTGAGTAATGAAAGAAAGTTTTGCAAACTAAAGCAGAAATTGCAGAATGATTATAAAAGACAGACTGGTATGAATGCTTGGGTATAATGAAGAACTCCAAATACTTAGCCTGATGATGATGATCTGGTATTGAGATCTAAAATGAGATGGAAATTTTTTAATGAAATTTTCTTTTGAAGGCAGAATTGAAGGATAAATAGAATTCAACTTATAGAGAAATTTTAAAAAATCATTCTTAGAACTATCCAAGATATTATAGCATCATTTACAGAATGTAGATATAAAATAAAGAATTTAGGAGAGAGATGACATGAAAGCTTTCTCTAAATTTTTCATAAATATTTCAGCTGATACTGTGATAATGGAGTTCCTATGGTACTCCTTACTTTTGGAACTAGAGTACTGTTAAAATAAAAATAGTTATTAGAGACCAGCAAGGCATTCTTTATAATCAAGACTTGTATATTAAAGTCTTTATCTAATAATAATGTGTTTGGTAGCATAACAGCTTCAAATGATAGAACTGATGGCTGTATGAATTAACATCTGTGTTAAATAATTTATAAGGATGAAAGTTCCAATATCTTTTCTATAATATGTTTGTTAGCTTCAAAAGCAGCAGCAATAGTAAAACTATAAAATCTTTATGACCCAAAAATTGAAACAATTATATGTTCCTTTTTTGTTTGTTCATTATTTGTATTTTTGTCAGAAGTACTTGAAAATATAATTTAATTTTATTTTTGTGTATTTTAAAGTAATTCAAGTATGCTAACACCAGAAGAGTTATACAGTAGAGCGTCGATTATCCAAAAGTCAATCATCCGAAAGAATTCCAGTCGGCAAATTTAGATTTTTGCCGGTGCTGTGGCGCTGCAATCTTTGGCTATGTCTTGGGCTACTCAAATATTTTATGTTTTTGATACTAAATTAACTTCTAAAGTATAATTTTTTATTGTTTTTATATTTTTCAATATATTTATTTTGGAACTACATTATGGGGGGCGTGTCTAGCCTGCGGAGGTGTTGGTGNATTTATTTTGTATGTACAAAATAAAAAAATAATTTTTAACTATACAATAGTCTTTGTTAGGCTTAACATCGATTTAAATTCGACACAAAGCGACACGCAATGGAGAAAAATGTCAAGATAGGATAAATTAATATATTTTTTCGTACATAATCAGTTATCCGAAACATCGATCTTCCGAACTACCCCAGTCCCCAATTGATTCGGATAATCGACGCTCTACTGTACTTTCAAATCTTAACTGTAAAGTTTCTTGTGCATTAGCATATTCTTAAGTACCTATAATATACAAATTACGTAATTAAAAATTAAAGTAAAATTGTATAATTCTCATGGCATTTTAATTTGAATTCTGGAGAGATATTATTATTGCATGATAAATGCAAGTTAATAAAATAGAAAATTAATAGTAGTGCAAAGACCTGTTATATTCAGGGCCACCACAAATGGCATACAGGATATGCACCACATGCAGGCATTGTCATCAAGAAGGTACCAAAAGACATCCCTAATAAAGTGCCTGATTTGAATTAGGATGTAACAAAAATGGAACAAAACATTACATTGAAAAAGCAAAATTGCAAGCTTCAATAGTTAGTTCATTATATATTTACAGCCAAACCTACTTAAAATCACCCTCCAGTTATTGTTACAGAAATTTTTATCCCCACCTAACTTTGGGCAATTGTGGGAGATTAATCAATTATTGTAATTGATTGTTAAATGCCATGAGATTTTTAATACCTTGATTAATCAGTTAATAATGATTGATTAATTGTAACATGTCATTTGAAATGGTACACAGTAGCTAGCATTAAAAATAACATTTTTATTTAAAGCAAGAATGACACAATGTTCTTGAAAGCTTCTGTCTTTGTGATTGTTCATTCTATCCAATATTTCTTATCTTATCAAAGAGCTGAGGAATATCAGTTGGCTTATACTTTTACTATGCACTTTTGTTTGTTTTCGCTCCACTGTTGCTCCTGCTTTTGAGAACAAATATCCTAAAAGAACACTTGTGGTCATGATTGACAAATATTTTACTGCCACAAGATATAGAATTGAAATGTTTGCTTCTGAGCTTTCCAAGATTTTCTATCTAAACCTTGCAGCAAATACAATTGGAGTTCAAGAGATAGACCACCTGCATTGTCTAGTCCATTTTGCATATTTGCCACCATGTGATCATAAAAATCCAAACACTTTTAGCTCAGTCTGAGTTGTTGCTGTTCAGAGCAAACTGTACAGTTTCGTTGCAATTAGTTGTCTCATTCTTACTAAATAATTTCCTATGTAATTCACTACAATAGCAGGAGAAACTGGACTGACAAAATGGCATCTTTTAAATTGCTGATTCAAAAGTGTTGCCACTGCCAGAATTTTCACTTTCTCAGTTTTCATGATCCAATGATGTTTTCAAATTTTTGCCAGCAGGAGTGCTTGCATTGTAATATGCTGTTATTTCAGTCAAGCAATGAACAAATGGAATGATTTTGCTTGAAGTGACAGTCTTCTCCACATAGTTCCCTGATCACGTGTTATAATGGGCTCAATAATGACATAGCATCCTGTGTACTTGCTAATTCATCTGTGCTTACAATGGTCAGGTCCCCTGGCATGCACAATAAGATGTTACCCAGATAAATCTTTGTAACAAAACATGTAGAATTACATCTAGTTGGACATTTTTGCTTCAGCTTTAGCAACTTGCTTTCACTTTTTCCACTTTTTAATTAAGCTTTTCTTAGCTTATTAGCTGTTATTACTTTGCTTGAAAAAAGAAACAATAGACTTTCAATGACTGCAAAAATTACAGGTTTAGCTTTAATTGCTCTTTGCGCTACCAAGTTTATTGTGCAAACAAAGCAGACAAGATGTTTGAACTACAAAACACATTATCAATTGCAGCCCCAATATTGTTTGCCCCATCTGTTACAACAGCTATAACCCTCTTTGTTTTTATTTTCCAGTCATTTGATAACTTGGCTGAGATACTCTGTAGTGTGTGCACTTTCTAATTTTGTTACTTCACTCGTGACAGAAGTTTGCTTCAGCTTTCTGTCTTTGTAATTCATAGTAAATCCTAAGAAGGACCTAGGTGTCCAAGTTTCAGTCCAAATATCTGTGGTAAGTTAGGTTATTCAGACTCCAAGGTTTTCTTTACAGCACTATTGAATTCTTCATACTTTCTATCCACAATTTTTGTCATAGTTTTTCTTCTTGGGAGCTTATTATGGAGAGCAACAGTCTTAACAAAATGCTGGAATCCTGATTTTAAACAGAGTGAAGTCAAAAATTATCCTTTATAATAAATGCAAGAGCATTTGTTGCTGTGGTATGCTTGTTACTTCCTACAACATACCTGCTGATCTTAAAAAAAAGCCTCATTCACTGCTGTCAAATTTTCGTTCTAGGTTGTACCAAAATGATTGTTTTTGCATGCTTAAAGAACACTGTTGTGCAAAATGTACAGCTTAATCGTACATAGCAATAGTTGCAATATTAAATGATAATTTTACATTAAGTAATCTACATTGCAATTATAAATGAAGCTAAATCATGAGATATCCACTTATTGCATTCTCTGTGTTTTTTCTGGAAACAGACAGCAAATTCTGAAGTTTGTGCTACAAGTAATTGGTGACATTGATGGTGTTTTTACAGCATTTGATCACCTTTGTGCAGTACTTGCAAGAGATTGAGTTGCTGTCTGTTTTTGTAAAATATTTCACTAACTCTCTTCTTTTTGATGCCACTGTTCACTTAGCAGGCACAGATTGTATATCAAGTGTAAAATTGAGAAATGATACAAAGTAACAGCTCATGGAAAACAATGACTACCTTGGTGCTGCATGCTTGTCTCCTTCACCTTAGGCAACATTGCACACTGCCAGAATTGCCAGGTTTTGGGAAAAATAATCAATTAAAAAGAATATTACTCTTGCAGCTTAATTAATTTTAAGGTCTGCAAACAATCGATTGCAGACCTTACCATTTGGGACATTCCAATTTTCAATGCTGACTAAGCGCTGATCTCAACGTTCGGTAAAAGTTGTTCCTTTTTTCAATGTTGAAGTGGTGCTATTGTCAATGCTAACTCAACACACTCAGCACTCAATGTATAGATTGAATGCTACTTTCCAATGAATTGTGGGTGACTGCTGTGACATTTGAATGGAATCCATCTTGCTGAAAATGGAATTATGGGAACTAAGCACTTTGTATTCAAAGTTGGAACATCATTGATGACGTCAAAATGTTGGTTTCAACACTCAACACTTGTGTTTGAAAATTGGAATGTCCCCATTGCCATCCCCAGTTAACCCCTAGAATAGGGTGGTGTTTAAAATAGGGAAAAAATAAATTGCTTACTTTTTTTGTGGTCCTACTCTCCAGAACTATTCCAACTGGCCTCAAATTACTACAGAAGAAATTTGAACTTGATATATTAATATTTAGAGGTAGCTCAAAGACCACAAAGTTTATAAAAAGAGCGATTTATGACAAATGAAAACATAAAAGACCTGTTTTGGTAAACCAGACTTGTTTCACTTTTTTGGACAATTACAGACAAATTAAATAGTCATGTACTCTACAATATTCAAAAACTTGATGGATTACAAACCAAAATGCAACAAAAGAATTTTTAAACATCACAATTCACAAAATTTGAAATTTTCAGTACTACATTCAATGTAACTTTATCAGTTTATTTTGGTAGAGGCAGAGAGAGACTCTTGCTGTCCAGATAATCTGCCTCCAACTGCTCTCTCACTAGTTACTCTTGTTTCCTTTACAGCTTGCATCTTCTTCTTCAGTATCTGTGCCATTGCTTGAGGATATTAGTTCTGCTATTTCTCCACCACTTCTCTTCAAGTCTTCCATTCTAAGTTTTCTGTTAAGCATCTGTTCCTGCCTTCGTACTGATCGTTTCTCATTTGCAGCTAATTTTGCATCCACACCTACCACTGACCCTTTACGTCCTTTCTCACGCTGAGCTAACAAGAACTCATGATTTTCTGGAATTTTTATCATTTTGACTGCTCTAAGATGAGAAATGTCAAAAAGTTCATTTAGTTTACTAACAAATTCAGCCTCGTTTGTTTGCTGTGTTACAGATTGTCGCCCCTTGTTTTTTTTAGCAAATGCCATTCTTCATATGTTCATTCTAATTTAGTTATGCAGTTTCTTGGATCTATCATTGGGATCCTTGCCATTTCATATAATATTGCCATCTTTACGACTGTAACAGCTGATGATTGTCTAATAGTTTGTTTCAGTTGAAAATAGTGATGTAAAAAAACAAACCAAGAGCCTGACATAAGGATTGCAACTTGTTGCCAGTTAATTCAGTTACTGTTGAACCAATGAGATACACTTCAGTTTTAGATCTAGTTACTGCTTTCACCATATTTATTATTTAATAACTTTTCTGGAATGACAAAAATGTATTGTGATTTGCTTGAGCAGTTTCTGGATTATAGTCTATGCATCTGATGATATTAGCAGTCCTTCAGAGACGTGCCTGAACTTGTCCTTACAAGCCAAATAGCCAGTAGGTGCAGTATGAGTCACTGAGTCAGCCTCAATCAAAAACAGGGAAAAACATTTTCATCAAGACTTGATGATGTCAGCAAAATAAAGATAATAAGTCATGACAGAAGTTAATTTTGTGGGAATGTCATGTAAGTAATATGTGATTAATTTAATGATTAATTTATGGAGATGACCAACTACAGTTTTATAAACTGTTGTACTAAAATGGATACATTGTGGTTGAAGCTTGTGATTGCCATATGCTCATCCTTACTATTTGGAACCTATAAATATTGAGCTATCAGTAAATATTCACCAATGGAGCAGATTTTTGGCATGGATGTTTTTTTATATATATTGGAACAGAAATAGAGGGTAGGAGGTTCACATTTATAATTTATGAAAATAAGCTCCACCCTACCTTAGAAGTAAATGATAGATTTTATCCGATTAATGTAACTGTCAAGTATTTGTGTTCCCAGTGAATTTAAATATTCCATTTTAATATCATAAAGTTTGCAGTTATAAACAGCTTAGCAAAGTGTTATCAGTACTATCTATTGATATTTTTTAATTATCAATAATTTTTAATTTATAACAAAATATAAAGTGGTGGCTAAATTTTTTTTACTTTACTTGATTTTATGATTACAGTACATGTAATAATGTTATGCATTTAATCTGTCAAATGTATGATATATACTCATACAGTAGGCCTACATGTAACTTACTAGTGCAACTAAATATTTTCATCAAATCTCAAGCTTTTCTGTTAGACTCCATTTAATGTCACCATATTACGACAGTTCCACAGATATATTAAACAGTTTTAACTGTATGGATACTATTGCACAATTCATTGTTTATATGCTGTTTCATTAGAGATTACATATTGCACAAATGATGCTATTCTTTGTAATGACAGAGTAAAAATCAAACAAAATTTTTTTATATTTTTGGCAAAAGAAACTGTCAAATTGTTAACACAAATACTGTATATTAATGATGATCTTTTGCTGACAAGTTTTAGTTTCTTTGTGATATTTTAGGATGGCTGCAAGGATTTTGGAGAGGACAAATACTGTGGATAGTCATCAAATGATTCTTTAGATATTAGAAAAACAAATTAACATTAAATTAGAAACAATTCATAAAATTTTGATAAGGTTTCTGCCACACAATACGGCCTCATTCTAGTGATTAAAAATTTTTGGAATTGGAAAAAATGCTAAAATTAAACCAATCCCATTATTTTCTTGATCTATCTCAAATGATGAAGTGCATTCTATAATCAAGTGCACTGTAACCATTAGTAATAGCAGTATGATTACCTTCAACAGTATCAAAAGCTCTGTGTTTCTAAATTTAAAGAAAACTATACATTTTCTAATGTATAGTTTTCTTTAAATTTCTGTAACTTAACATTTTTTTCAATATACAAATTTTAATTATTAAGATTCTAAACTTAAAATATATGCTTTGTCATTGTTTTTGATTGCTAATAATCTTGCTTTTATTTTCAGACTGCTTATAATTATCAACAGCCTTGGAGTGCATATCCAGCTTCATATTATCCAACTCACTGAAGATATTCATAAATACCATATTTTTAGGTTTTATTAATGGACCATTATATCATTCCAAATAGTTTCGTTTTAATTTAAGAAAGAAAGTTTTAATCTTTCACCATAGAATATAATCACAGTTCCTTTTCATTACAATTAATGATAAAGAATTATACTTGATATGGTAATTGTCATTATGGCACACTACAAATTATTTTTGAAAGAATAAACTGTGTGCATTCATTTCTTGATGCTAGATAATTTGGAACTACATATAAATAACTTAATGCATAACTGCAATCAAAATTTTACTGTCTTTAGCTCTCTAAATTTTCTACATCACTATTTTGATTTTTTCTGTTCATAGTTTATCATGTAAAAATAAATAAAAAAATATATAATGTATATATTCTGTACATCCTCACTTCTGAATCTATAGACACTTTTTAGATTTCTTACCATATGAATATACGAAAACTGTTTTAAATTACTATGTTATAGAATGGGAAAGCATATGAATTCAGGTTTAAATTAAAACATTTCAATTTAAAATTTTTATAGATATAGAGGATTTTCAATCTTATTCAGTGTGATCAATAATATATTTTTAATGAACAGAGAAATGAAAAGTTTGCCAGTTTTGTTAATAGGTATGGAATTTCAAAAGTGACAAACAAATTTATAATAATTTGAAAATTTGCTTGAAATTAATCTTCAAAATTCATTAGTTTATAGGTTAAATAGTTTGTTTTTTATTTTAATAAATTTAAAGATGAGTTTTTCATGAAGTTTTAATGGATTTTTTAGATGGAAACATATTATAATTGGTTTTTTTGTGAAGATGCATATTTTATGTAATAAAGTAATTAAAAGAATGAAAATGTTGCTTCATAAAATATTAATTTTAATCCATTTATAAAAGTAAGTTATAAAATTTAGAATAAATATATTAATATTTAAAATTTGAAAGATATGTATACAACGAATGAATGAATGAAATATCTCTTAAATTACATTATTTAAGAATGTCTGGACTTGAATGTGTTGGTTCAGTTTTATTAATACAAAATATGGAGACAGCAGATTACCATATTAATCATTTATGTGAAATAAAAATTTTTTTTGTTTGCTTCTAATAAAATATGCTAATTTTTTCTTATCCTATATACACAAATTACATGTAAATATGGAAGTTAATTTGCATTACAGTACTTTCATTATATGAATTCAAACAAATATTATTTTAAAATTTAAAAATTATTAGAACACCATGATTATAAATTAATATATTACCGTATTAAAAATATACCACAGACTATTCAATTTTGAGCTTAGAAGTTGCTTTATAGAAAATCAAAAAAAATTAAAATATGAAAGCAGCGTATAAATTATTTAATATAATTTATACGCGGCTTTTATATTTTATATTAAAAGGCCATTGCTAGATGAGAATTATAATTGTCAAAATATTAAATGGCAATTAGATCAATAGGTTTTTCGTATACAAAATCTGCTTTGAGAGACTAATACTGACACACACCTCTTCACCCTGCCAAGCCTTTGATTTCTTTGACGTCCCGTTCGCTTTTCGATCCTTTGCACTTATCCATTTTCGAACGAACGTATTCAACTTTCTCTACTTTTCTTCCGTGTCTTCGCGAAGTGTTTTTTTCCGTCTATTTCGTGAAGGTTGCTCATTTTGTTGCTTTTCTTTGGAACGAAAGAAGCAGAATCACAGAATTCGACATTCTCGAACAATGTTTCGATTAAATTTTATTCGAATATTTAGTGATGGACGACTACGAGTCCCAAGCCCACAAAATTTCTGGATCGAAACGAGACTCGATACAATATAATGTCAAAACTATGTTGCCGTTGGAAAAAAAAAATTCTAATGCTAGGCAACCTTAACAATCAGAAGCCAATCCGCAATGAAAAGTTTAAGTGTGTCACCGAACGATAAAAGTAGAAACTACGGTATTTAGGAAACGCCAAATGATTCGTATACGTAAAATAATGAAAAATTTAAAAACAAGCAGAATGAAACGTCAAAAATCCGTATTCGGCCATCGTTAAATATTCAAACACTGGTTCTTAACCTTTTCGAAGTCAGAACAGTTTTGAATATAGGAAAATTTGCAGAACATCGAAATCACATTAAAATAAGCACGAAAATGTCTGTTTATTCAAAATTACAGATTTCATACCGTTTTTACAAATGTTTTTTGTTAACTAAAATAACACAAATGGAAATTCTTTAAGTCAATTTTTATCTGATACCTGAGCTTGTTCAGATATCCCGTTATCATAATTTCAGCAATATCAGATCTAAGATGTGTGATAGCTGTCCTCATTTCTTCTATACTAGTTAGTCTTTCGCGTTTTTAAGTGTTCATGTTGGTTAATGTTGAGAAATTGAGCTCACAACTATGATGATGAAAACTAGCAAAATATTCAGTGCCTTCGTACAGACGGCTGGATTTTCGTCTTGGACAAAAATTCTCAAGACTTGTTTCAGAGTATTTCATTTTTAAAGTACGATCCGTTGACAATGTAACCAATTGTTCTTGTAACAAAAATTCACAACTCGATGTATCAATTGTGCCAAATGGATTTCGTTCGTATCCAGTCATAAATTTCTATATTTAAGGAAAGAAAGGAACTTGCAATATTTTCTTCCAATAGTGTAAGATGGCAGAAATTCTTATATTAGAAATACTCTTTAATAATAACATTTCACGAATTACGCAACAATTGTTGTTCTTAGCTACCTGAGAAAGTCTCCCGTTACATTTTCTCGAAAGCAACATGACGCTTTCTCGTGAACTTTTAACCTCTGCACGNACTTACTTTCTATTCGTTTTATTTTAAATTGAAATACATACTGTATTACAAAACATTTTGATTTTTAAATAAGAATATGAGGAACGGATTTAAAGAAATCGAGCTGTTTATTTTTATTGTGGTCAAAAATATTAATACAGTATTTCGTAATTGCTGGTGAGTCCCAGAAATTTGTTACGGATCGCAGTTTCTCCACCACTGGTTTAGACAAATTTTAAATACTTTAAATATGCATTAAATTTTAAGAAAATTATGAAATAATATCTGTAATAACAATGTATTTTCCATTTAATTTATAAAAATTTGAATAATATGCAAACCTCAAAAAATTCATAGGCCTAGTTAAATTCAATATACTCAATCATTCGCAAGAAAATAAGTTATAATATATTCATCTATCTATATATATAAAAATGAATGTGTGTGTGTGTGCCTGTCTGTCCGTCCTTCATGCATTACCACGCCGTTTATCCGATTGCCGTGAAACTTTGGGAAGTTGTTTAATATACTCCCGCGAAGGTTTCTGGCATAGTACATTTATCCTACTATAGATGGCGCGCGTGTATACGAGCACTGTGTGTTCTGTGTGTTCGATCGATTTCAAATCGTGAAGACCATTTCCCCCTCCAAAAAATATCTCTATATATGCATTTATTATTTACGATATTTGTAATAATTTTTGTTTAATCACTTTATTTCAGCTTTTTTTTTGCTAATTATGTATTCGCTTGAACTTTGTTAAAACCTTAACTGTATCCCGAACAACAACCGAAGTTGTAGAAGGAAATTCGCCTATTTTACCGATCTAGGGATCCCCCTTTTCCAAATTTTAATATCAACTCAAAATAATTTAAAAAGACAAATTACAATAAAACGGTTTATTATCCAACTATCAGAAATTTCACAACATGCCAAGGAAGAGAGGAAGGAGCAATTAAATAATCAAAATTATAAAGGATTAAAAAAAACTATATAAAAATGGGGAATATCGCACTTCTAACAATTTGTGCGAGTATGTGGGTTAAATTTAAAGAATCCGTGCTTCTCGCTTGGACAACTGTATGTGGCCAGCTCACGCATCGGAAAACCTGATTTATTCGTGTATGCACCAGACGGAAAAAACAAAAAATAGTGTATTCACAAGCACTCCAATAAATAATAAGAATTGAAACGACACTTTGAAATGTTTTCCCGATGAAAATGAATAATAATAATAAGTTTCAATAAAAATGATAAAATGTAAATTTAATTTTATCATAACGAGTTTGCTTGAATTTCGTTTCTTCTGAGATCGCAGTAATGCGCAACGGATAAGCTAGTGTTAAATAAAAATCAAACCTCTGACAAATTAATTATAATTAATATTTAAATTAACGTTTGTTTATTAACTAGTTATAGATAATTACACAGTAATATATAAGTGATTTATTTAATAAATAATCGATTCAAATAAATTAATTAACTGAATAATTAATACTGTATAATGATATCATTAATTATTCTTATTATGTCAAGTGCCTTAATCCATTAAGAACGGCTTTAAAATATACACATGTGCCTTGTTTTGATTTTTATTCCTTAATTTTTCTTTTCTGATCAATGCAATTGTGCAAATGGTGCAGCCGCATTAGAATCCGAGCTCGAGAGACCCTCGATAGACAAAGATAAAATATTACTTAAACACTTGAAAAAGATTAAATCGCATTAAACTTTATAGATCAATAGGAGATTCATTTAAGTAATAATGATAAAATTTTAATTTTTGTGTGTACGTAAAAGTTTTTTTTTTTTTAATACATCGCTAAAAAACATTGCTACTTGGGATCCTGAGTTTTGTTTTTGCTCCTGGGCCCACACGTTTCTAGATAAGCTATTGAGTGAGATTCAAATAGTTCTACTGACGGTCAATAAGGCCTTTTGACTCGAATCCTTTAAGAGGACGTTCAAAATTAAAACAAGTAATAAAACAATTTAAACAATTTAAAATAAAAAAATTAGTATAAAAAATTCCAAATTGTTTATGCAATAATTATTTTCAATAATAAGTTTTATTTTAGGCGATGTTAAAGTCTGGAAATTAGTAGATACTGTTGGAATGAGTGCGATAAATATGACAAGTGTAAGTTTCTTTTATATTGATATTTATATAAGTTATATATATATATATACAGTATATATTAATGAAAAACTTTTTTCATGAATTTAATATGTTATAGTCAGAAATGTTGAAAGCCAATCATCTCAGAAAATGGTTAGAAGAAATGGAAGAGATAAAAGAACCTGTAGACGAAGTTTTCATTCTCACGAATTAATAATAATAAATTTAAACGTTTCAAATTACATTACACTTTTGCAGGAATTGTACAGAACTTTTGAAATCTGCCAAGAAGTTGCTCAAAATTACATAGGTGCACCCAATACAACCTGTTACAGTACAAAAGAAGAAACTCTTCTTTATCGGAGTAAAATAGTTAGCCTGTTTCCAAATTTAAGGCTTAAACCAATCAAACATAATTTGACTAAAGTCAAAGTAGATATTATAATTTATAATTAATCGTTTAAATTATGCAAAAATCGAAATATTACAGTAACACGAATATTTTGATTCGTTTTAGAAGCATACAATAAATTTAAAAGTAATAATAATTCAAGCTAAGAATCTAAGACCAAAAGACGTAAACGGTGAGTACTATTATATATTTATTTTTTTCAAATGTTTTGTTTTATTAATGACATATCACACAGACAAGAATGATCCGTACTGCAATTTATGGATAGACTCCACCAAAAAACGAAGAACGTGTATTAAGAAACAAACAATTCATCCATATTGGAATGAAGAATTTACTTTGTAAGTATTTAGACAAAAATTTATAATTTATCACAAACAATCTTTGTAAAATTATTATTATTTTTTAATTATTAGCGAAAATATTTCAATGGACGATTCATTAACTGTAGAAGTTTGGTAAGTGAAATGTCTTCAGCACAATACATTTTGAGCAATAGTCAAAACTATTATCATAATTTTGGTATTTTAAGGGATGCCGATAGTGCAAGTATAGCCAGTGCTGCCCGAGAAATTACAAATGTTAGAGGAATCGATACGTTTTTCAGGTATTTTAAAAATGAATAAACTTTATTGAGTAATATTGTTCAGTAACATGTTGAAAATCTGAAATTCTATATTAGGCTATAATGTCTTTTGCAAATTTAGATATCTGAAAGATGTAGTCGAGACTGCAGTACCACTATTAGAAAACGATGATTTAATTGGAAATGTTGTTATTCCGATAAAGGTAAATCAGTTAAATCATTCTTTTATTTACGCCTTTATAATTTTCGGATTGTTCACTGTGTAGCCTTTTATCAAACTTCTCAATTGAATTTCGGGAATTCGTCTAATGCAGTAGCTCTTAAACCTTTTTTTGCTCGTGGAGCAATGTAACACAATAAAAGTTTTTTTTGGCGCACTTAATGTATTTTTTTCTTTTGTACATGAATGCAAAAGTAAAAATTAGTGCACCAAGAATGAGTTCTCGGAATCGAACGAAATTGTATATGTGTGAATGTAGTGATATAAGTAAGTGGAAAATGAAAGCTAAAGGATCAAAGGAAAAACTACAAATGAAAGAAGGTTCTACTACCTTGTTTGGCCACCTCTAGCGTGAATACACGATGTGCTACGGACAGGCATGAATGCCTACAGATACCGTATGGTGTCCTGCGGCATCTGTCCACGATTGCTGCAACAGTCCTCTAGTTCGGCAGCCAAACTCCTAGGCTGTCCAACTTGGCATCCCAGGTGATCCCAGACATGTTCGATCGGTGTCAAATCAGAGGACCGAGCAGACTAGGGGTGTGTGGCAATGTGTTGGAGGCAGTTCTGTGACACCCTTGCTATATGTGGTCGAGCATTGTCTGTTGGAAAAGGTTCTTGGAAGCCTTGCCACGAGAGGCAACACATGTGACTGCAGGATATTACTAACATATCGCTAGGCTGTCATGGTTTCTTGGATCATTACTAGACGTGACTGGCTGTCGTATGAGATGGCACCTCAAACCATCACACCAGCTGCAGGCGCGGTGTACTGCTCCAAAGCATGGGCATGTTTGAGGCTTTCACCACAAGGCCTCCAGACACGAACACGGCCGTCGTCAGTGCCCAAATTGAATCTGGATTCGCAGACGACCCGGTTCCATTCCGTTGCGATTCAATCCCTTTGGGAGCGATACTGTTCCAAACAGATGCGACGGGGGATACTGTCAATGACAGCACACGTAATGGCTGCCGCAATACCAAACGTTCCTCACCCAGACGCCTCGAAATGGTACGGACAGACAGGTCCTGTAATGATGGCGCCACCCGTGTCGTCGGGATGATGGGGAACGATACGGCTGTGTGCTTGCTTGTCGGTGGACCAGGCAGTCCTCTCGGCTGGTAGACTGTCGAGGGCGTCCTGAGTCTGGGAGTTGTGTGTGCGAGCTCTCTCTCGATCATTGGTCCCAACATCTTCTCGCAGTGTTGTCAGAACGGCCTAAGTGGCGGGCTATTTGGCGAGATGACCATCTGGCTTCTCTCAACCCAACGATCCTCCCCTCTCTCAAACTCCGTTAGTTGTTCATATGGTCTTCGATTGCAACGTAAAGGCATCTCTAGTGATACAGCGTCTCTTTGCAACAGGTAAACTACAGACATGATGCCTTTGCGCGCTTTTTTATAGGCCAGCGGGCCGCACTTTAATGCCCTCTACTGTCATAATGCATAAACTATCACGCTATAACACTAATAATTTCCATATCTGTTTGAGACTTATCTGCATGCTAAATTTCGCAGCGATATGACAAATCCTCGGTGCGCTAATTTTTATGTCAATGAGTGTATTTTAAGTAGCAGTGTATTTATTATAATAACTGATACTCAATATATTACTAGTTATTATTATATCATGGATGTAATAAATGTTTGTACAAATCGGTTTCTTATTTTAAAAAATACTTTGATAATGTTCATAGCACATTTAGCCATCTCTTGCAGCTCACCGTTTGAGAATTACTGGTCCGTGAGCGTTCGCAGAGGGAGGCAAATTGTCTCCCCTGGATCGAGTAAAAAGTTCCACAAATTATAATCGCAAAAGTAATTGAGATATGTAACCTTACACTGTACTATGATACAATTACTGTATTTCATAATCTACTTGTGAAAAAAGAAACCAAAAAATTAAATGAAAATTTATTGATGTAATTTTTTGTCTGAAAGTTTTGCCTTCGCTGGAAAATTTTCTGCTGACTATCATGCGCTGGCCTAATGTATACTTTACGTGCGAAAATAAAGTATAAAAAAGAAATTAGTTCTTACATTCTAAACAAGTCAAAATTTTTTTTAGGAAATTCCGTTCGTTAATATAGAAGGTGACGTTACCAACAATACGATATGGTACAATCTCAAATTAAACGAAGATACGAATGGCTCTGTACTTATCGGTTTTGAATTTCAAGTAAAATCAAAGCAAAATATTATTCAAGATTTAATTGATCACAGTAATATGTGCAGAATTTTTCTGGAAGATCATTTAAAAGATTCCGAAGTAAACCTATTTGTAATAAAGTAAAAATTGTTAAGAAATGTATTCCAAAATCGACTCGATTGTAATTTTTCAGTTTACGTCCTATAAAACTGAACGGTTAAATGAAATTTTTGATCCATCAGCTTGGACTTTACTGAAACAACATTCTTTGCAAGCAAACCTCTTTCCATTATCTCACTATATTTGGTAAAATTATATTTGTCAATTATATAACCATTTTAAAATTTAAAGCACTAATCAATACCAATTCTTTTCTACAGTTTATGGATACGAATAAGCAAAAAAATGCAAAATTTAAAAACTAAATATAATTATAATATGTGTGCCAACCTTCTCAGAAAAGTAAAGAATATCGCAGAGAAAGTTACAGTAGATCCATTGTTGCAGACAATATTTATTGATGATTTGAAATGTTTTGAAGAATTTTGTATGAAGGATTTAAATTGCTTACATACAAATTTTCATATAAATGGTGAAGAAAAGCATCGCATCCAATCATTTTTTGGGTAAGTATGTTTGTCCTATTTGTTAAAGAGAACCTCAAGCGTTTATCTGAAAAACGAAATAACTCAAAATATTATGTAATTACTACTCCTGTATAAAACTTTTTAAAACTATTTAATATTAGCATTTTACACATTAAAATCATTGTAAAGTATAAATTAAAACATTGATAGATATTAAATTCAATTATAGATAAGTGATCATTCCTCAAAATGATTTTTTACAAGCTTTATATAGATGTATATTGTGTTGTTTTTAATAGATTGCTTGAAATAATGAGTCGCTTTCTTCCCGATATGAAAGAAAAAATGAAAATAGCTATCCAAGTAAGATTCGAAAATTTATTAGTTTTTTACTGTTTTGAAAGTAAAATGTGACGATTAAATTTCGTTAGATCGATGCCACAAACTCGTATAAACTTTCAAATGAATTGAATTCGGATATCACGGTAAGAAATTTAAATTAACTTATATACTTTAATTTTTAAGTAGTTTCGAAATAAATTTAATTATTGGCATGCAGGATGAGCAGGAACAAGAAATAATAACAAACAACCTAAAAGATTTCACAAAAAGTCTTGAAATATTGGATGGAATATTTATCGAGTATTACAGAAATGATTTCATATTTTTCCGAACGGCAATAATATTATCGTGTTAATTTTGACTTATTTTATTTTAAAATTTCCAGCGTGTTTTCAAATGAAACTTACAGTGACCATACTTGTTACGTCTTGGACAATCTGGTAAAATTTTATGTTTAATTTACTTTCATTTTTATGTGATTCGTCGGGACTTTACGTTTGGCTTCAACTTTGCTCATTTCGAGAGAGTTAAACTGATAATAGAGTTAACACAGACGAGGAATGTAAACTAATGCCCTCGTTTGAAAACTCATAAAAGTCTGGATCGAATTCGAATTTAAAACTACGTGACTGTTCACGTTATTCTTTATATATTACAGTATATGAAGAGATGATAAATTTGTCTTTTTGTTATTTTTTTTAGTTGAGTAAGAAGATCCGTCCCTACATAGAGAAATTCGTACAAAACTCTGTCACTGATGTTAAGAGAGAGAAAACGTTTAAATTATATTTAACAATAAAAAGTTTCGTAGATCACATTCTGAAAAATATCTCCAGGTATTACTTCAGACGTATTTGACATGATAAATTCAGTTTTTATTTAAATTTTAATTATAATTTAATTTATGAATCATTAATTTAAACTGTGTATTATTCGAAGAAAAAATTAAGATAATTGTTAGATTTTTCATGTCATTTATTTAAAATTTTAAGATTTATAAAGGCTACTAGTGTTCCTGACACAATGTATTAATTAAAATGGGACAGAATCGATCAACTTTATGAATTATTCTCATGTAAAAAAATTAAAATGAATGAACAGAAAATTATTAGCAAAGAATATGGATTTTTGGAGAACATCTCAAGCGCGAAAATAAAAAAAAACCAATACAAATTTATAAATTAGAAACAATAAAGATAAAGAGAGCTGTCATGACTGGTATTGAAGAGAAAAACTAAAATGACATAGTCATATAGGATAAAAATAGGAGAGAATACCGAGTTTAATTATGTATTAAAAACCAAAAAAAGTCCTTCCAAACATAAAACAGAAAAATAAATGCACGTGAACACGAAAAACTGAGAGATGAGGATAAAGGAATAAGGAAGAATCGCGGTTAAATTTAAAAGAACTTTTTGGTTGAGGAGACCCTCAGTAATGAGGAAATCCTGAGAAGGCGGTATGACTAAGGTTACGGTAGAAAATAAAAGTGAAAATGCGCGCCGCAGAGGCGTAGCTACAGTGGAGCAGTTGGAGCAAATTGCTCCAGGCGCACGAATCACAGGGCGCTAAGTTATAAAGAGCAAAATAAAAACTTGTAAAAACATTTGTGAAAAAAAATTTTTGGATGTAATAATTAATCAATTAACTATTAGATTTGAATCCGTTCGACAATTATGTACACTTTTCAAGTGCTTTTCGCCTGCATATGTTGTCGTGTCATCTGATAAAAATATTCTGAAACAATCAGAATTGTTACAATCGGCATACTCGCCTAGTTTTGGACCTTAACTGCTTCGACTTAACATGTGTTTTTATAGTCAGGTAAAATAAATTACTTCTATAAGCGAAGTTGCTGAACTACTTTTATTTCACACCGCAGCCTCAAATAGGTTCTCCGACATTATTGCAGCATGCCTCATTTTTTTAACTTTACGGGCGACGACAAAGAAGTTTTACAAAACCAAAACTAATCAAAGCGTATTTAAGAAGCAGCATATCACAACTACGTCTTAATTCTGGTTACTATATCCAGGGGCGGATCTACATAGAAACTAATAGGGCTTAAGCCCTGGACCCCCAAGTCTCAAAGTCCCTCAAAAATTGAAAAAGACCGTTGCTTTTACCACTTCAGCTTTTCGAACTACAATATCATATTCATCGTATCATAATCAAATATTCATCGTATGATATTACATTCTGCTATGGGTAATATATTCGAGGTATCAATGGTATGGTAATCGAAGAGTACAGTGAAAACTGCTTAGGCGACCACCTGCATTCTACGGGCACCTGTCAAAACGGGCAAAAATTTCTGGCACGGAATAGTTTATCCATAGAGTCTTCGTATAAGTTACCCGTATTAAACGACCACCCGCGTAATGCGACCGCGGGCATCGATTTTTGGTCCGAAACAACATACAACACCTGTAATAAGCGACCACTTTGGCGAATGTATCTGGTCTAAACTATTGTAAGATCCTTACCCATCTCAACAACGTTTCCACCTCCTAATATAATGAATTAGTCTAAACTCTCGTTCGAACCCATCCCGGGCACTTCTCCTACCCACGAAATTAGGTGCAGGTGTTAATAAATTAGTGTAGCAACAAAGGAAATTCATTTCAGATTGTTGGAAAATGCCTGAAATGCAAAGTGCTGTCGTTAGAAGATCGTATTAAAGTTATCACAACAGCAATTAGCGGCAAAATTTAACTGTGGGAAAACAAAATTTATTTTACCCTAGACCTACAGTATTTTCCTTGGGGTGTAAAATATAGTAGTCTACACGATACAATTAATTAATCGGATGATCTCATCGNAATATATTCGAGGTATCAATGGTATGGTAATCGAAGAGTATTTAAAAATTTATATATCTACTATTATTAAAATGTTCAAATATCAAGCGTCTAATTTCAGTTGTAAAAAGTCAAATTTCAAATTAATATTATAAAATCTGACTCTGTCGTTTTTCGGGACTTAAAACAAAACTAAAAATATAGGAAATTCTTATTAAATTAACATATACAGTATTATATTTATATTTAAAAAATAACTTTATAACTGTTAAAAATGCATTTAAAGTTGATAAATTATCAACTATATCTGTATACACATTTACACTACAATTAAATTAAAATGCTCTCTTTTGTACTTCACAACATTATTTAACGAGTCCGTATTTTCTTTGTAGGAATGAAACTCAATTACAAATGAAGCAATATCAGCAGTGGTTTGGGAATGAAATTATGCATGCATGGTTTCAAGACGGCGTCCAATCCTGCATAAATTGGATCGATGACTCTTTACGAATGGATAAAGTAAGTGTCGTTATTATCACTATTATTCTTTCCGTCTTTATCTTTTATTTCAATGTAGCTTTATTTTTATTATGGAATTTATGGGAATGTTTTGATGTCAAAAACTAAAAATAAATAAAAATAATAATAATAATAAAACATTAAACAGATACTAATTATTGTTTTATCAATAATAATTAATCCTTTAGACGTTTTTCATATCCGCAGAGTCGTCAAAAGCTTGGCGTGGAACCTTTGGGTTTTCTTTTAATGAAATATGTAGAATGTTTCTTTATTAATAAATAGCAATCTTAATTATTTTATTGTTAGTAAAAGTAATATTAATTTATTGGATAGAAACCACTACGGGATCTTAACAGGTTAATATTTAAATATTCAAACGAAATTTCCTTTCAGCTGGAGCCTATCAGTAACGATGTGCAGACTGGAACTTCTTTAATGGACTTGAATGATTCACTATTTCACACAGTATTTCGTTTACAATTACTTAAATTTATATACTATAGACTACTATTTTTGTTTAACTTCTTATTCTTCTTTGCCTTATTCTATAGATTTTCACAATATGGGAGATATTAGATTGGTTTGACATTGCTGCAACACGGAAACTAATCGAAGTAAGTGGGCTGATTTATATTAGATTTGTCTAACTTATCAAAATTTTTAAACATTTTTCTTTTTCAGTGTTTTAACGACTATTTCAGTTACTACACTATGCAACTGGTTACAAAATTGGAAAAAGAAAATTATTATACACCAAACAAACCTGAAAATTCTTTCAGGCCGAAAGTAAACTGATAATTTTGATTTTTTTCCCTAGATTGTTACAACGCACAGTGGAGCAGAGTCGCTCATTCTGGACAAAATTGGAAATAACTAGATTTTTATAGTTGTTTTTGAATATGCAAATTCGAATGTGTTAATTAGAAATTCAGTAATGTTATCAGAATGTCTCCTCATTGTAGTCTGCGTATAAATAAGGCTGTCCGTGGGGTTTTTCTCTGTTCGCTTTTAACACGTAGAAAACAGGTTTTTAGTAGTGTTATCAGAAAATTTTTATTTAGTAGGCTATTTAGACATCCAGAAAATATGTTAAAAAGTAAGAAATTTCATTAAAATTGTATTAAAGAAGAAAATAAAAAGAAAAAACAGGCAGCTGTAAGCTTACAAAATCATAACTTAAAATATCGTAAAAATCATTAGTCTTCTTTCTCTGTCGTGTCAAAGAATATACTGACATCTATATCAGTATCGTTATCGCCGTCATTAGATTCTCTACAGCTTCCATAACTAATTGAAGGGACTTCAAGTAATGCGAGGATTTTTTTTCAGTTTGTATTCTGTCTTTGGTGTAGGGGTGTGTTGGTGTCCAAACCAAATTGCGAGTAAGTCGTAGGTAGGCTGACCACAAATATTTTCTGTATTTCAAATATACAAAAAATAGGTCTGTTTCTATCATTTACTGTATAAATGATGTGTCAGATGAAATAGTGGAATCAGATAAGCGGCTATACAGTAGATCCCCCTATCAGACGGTAGATACGTTCCGTTCTTTATGAATCAATTTTGTAGGAATCATAGTTTACGGACTACGGCTGTTTGAAAGGTTTTCTTTCATAAAATTAATCGATTCTAGACTAATTCGACTCAACATTTCCAAAATACGTATATTTTTTTGAAAATAATCCGTATAAACTACGTTATAAACAAAAAATTGTAGGATTACTTACCGAGTGTGTACCCTTTGACTACGCTCGTTGCTAAAGCTTGGTTTCGTCGCGGAACAGCGCATCAAATTGCGGCCGCGATTTCTGATATTATTTTTCTGCGAAAACTTCGTTGACCTTTGGAGACATCATTAATATAAATAATTTTTATGGCCGTTGAATAAGAAATGTTTCTTTCACAAGAAATGTATAAAATTACAGTACTAAACAGACGATAGGTCGCCTAACTCGCCGTAGCGTGACGCTAGACGGCGAAAAATATATATTTAATTATAATAAAGTTACAATAAATTAAGTTAATATATAATTATATATACAGTACCTAATTTATATATAATTAATATATAATTATATGTACAGTACCTGATTTATATATAATTATATGAACAGACGATACTAAACTTAATTTATCCGCCTAAACGTCCATAGCGCCACGCTACAGACGGTGGGAAAGTAGTTCGGCTGCCCGATGACGTTTTACGTATTATAGGAGTTATTTTTACCGTTGTTTACGGATACTGCCACAATTTATAGGAATCATAACTATAGGAAACGGTTTTATAGGGGGATCTACTGTATATGATTTATATTAGTTTTTTGCTTGGTAGGAAGTGTCATGCAATTTTTTTTATGTTGTTGCAAACATTCCAGAGCATATGTACAGTACAAACAATATGATGACAAGTAAGTCTCATAGAACTTTCATTATACATCACAACGTTTTATGATTATGTTGCCTTCGTTAATGGTGCTGATAAATTTACCAATTCCCTGAGTTGCTGTAGCTATGGTTCTTAGAAGAGACCTTTATCAAATTCGGGTATGATATAGAAAAAAAACGAGATAAAATTATTCCATGAAAGTTCCTTAATACAAATTTCGGTAACAAACTCTACACATCATCTACAGTTATCATTTACCCAAAAAATACTAGAGACATTTAAACAACTCTATAAATTCGAAAGGCTATAGCTTTCTTGTTTTAAAAAAATATACAATATTTTGTTTCTTATTGCCCCGAATACTGAAGTCAAAATATTTTTTTTCTTTTTGTAATATGAAAAATTTCATTTCTCGATTTCGTTGTCCAGGTTTTGAGGGATTTTGCTACACTGTCGATGGTCTAAAGTGTATCACAGAAAAAAATATTTGCATTATATTCAATGATTAGAAATTGATTTTTACTTAAGTCATTTTCATTTAGTTACTCGTGGCTTTAAATAATTTGATAGCAATTGATGAAAGTTTGAAATTTATCGTTGATAAAATTGAAAACAATTCAAATTTTCAAAGCCGTCCAGAAACTGAAAAAAATATTTTGTTAGTGTTGAAAGAACCATTCCCGGACGTCAGAAAAGGAATAGAGGATATCAGTCGGGAAATTGTAGACAAAGTAAGTTTGATCATAATTTGTAAACTGTTGAAAAATGTAATGATTTATTTATTACTATTTTCAGATAGCTCTTAATATCAAGAACTCGCTATCGAATATAAAAAAAGCCACAAATGAAAATCGCAGAAAAAAGGTAAATTTGGAAAAGACAAATGACTTAAGACAAATGTTAAAAGCATAACATGAAACTTTTACAGGCTATACACCATTTGCTTTATTATATCGAAAATGATCTCAATATGACTTATAAATGTTTAAATTCGATAGTATATAAATCTATATTATTTCAATTGTGGGATGAAATTATAAAAATACTGCAAACTTCTCTTAATGAATGCAAACCGAAGGTAAGTTAAAATGCTTACAATAATTACTTTTACATATTTAGGCTAATTATTGTTACGTGCATGAGCGTCCGCAGAAAATTTCCTAAGGGTAAAGCATGAAAACAAATACTGTAATTACATCTATAAATTATTTAATTTTTGCTGGTTTTTTCACAAGTATAGAATACAATAACTGTATCAAAGAGTCTCATGGTCCAGGATGTAAGGTTACATACCTCAATCACTTTCACAATTATAATTTGAGGAACTTTTTACTCGATCCCAGGGAGGGAAAGTGCACCATTTTCCCTTTCTGCGGACATCCATAGTTACACTCAACGATTTCGTGTAGATTCCCAAGTTTTGTTCAATGTTTCTTTGCAAAAGAAGGTTGAAAACTAAAGATCTTTGGGAGATATCCGAAGGATGCCTGTTAATATTCAATGCGAACGAAGGTTTAAGTTATTCAGATATGAGGAATGAAAATTATACGGTATAAAAAATTATTATTAGCTTAAAATTAATTTATTATTATTATTATTATTACTACTTTGGTGATTTTATTTTGTTAGAAATTCAAAAGTGAATTGGTTTATTTGGATTTATCTCGTAAAAACAATAAGAAGATATCATCATAACAATATTTTATTGTAAAAACCGGTAAACTTTGAGAATTTTATTAAAATTTATTTAAAAATAAAAATGTTGAATTTATTTTATGCCTATTTTTCAACTTTTACATGACAATTTAAAACATTTTTATTGTTAATATTGAAATAAATAACATTATAACAAAATAATTAATATAGTATGAATTTAAGCATTTTATATCTGTAAAACCACTGAACACTCATAGTTGATTCCGAGTTCGCATCTGACTGACATGAGCTGGTCATGTGGCATTTTCCGAGTTTATTTCGTGTCTAGCACACAGGTTCCCAACCTATGGGTCGCGACCCAGAAGGAGGTCGCTACGGGCTTTCTGTGGGGTCGCCAACTTATACAGTAAACTAAAAAAATTTTCACTATAATGCAATTTTTATTTTTAATGGTGTCTTGAAGTTTGAATAATTTCATATATTTTTTTTAAATTAAAATAAGTGTAATCTAGGTACGCTATTCTGTCACAGTTGGTTGAGACATGTGTTGAGAGTTTGAGAGGAATAAATTAAATGTTGAGAATGACATGAGATTGGAGTAAACAAAAACTCACCCACGAATTTTGAAACTGGTTAATAACATGCAATTTCAACCATCGCATTAAATTATTAAACAATTTAAAATAAAATTATAGTAAAAAAACTAATTTCGTTGGTTTTTTTAATTACAGTCGACCCCCGTATAAGATCATTGATTATTCTGTTTTATATGAATTCCATGTTGTACGAGTCACTTAAATTTTACAAATACGTGAGCCGTTCACAGCCCGGTACATGTATTTGTAAAATCTAAGTGACTCGTACAACATGGAATTCATATAAAACGGAATAATCAATGATCTTATAGGGGGGTCGACTGTACCTTATTAAAAATGCCTTTTTTAATTTTATCGGGGTCGCGGGACACTTGGCTTTTATAAAAAGGGGTCGCCACCCGAAAAAGGTTGGGAACCGTTGGTCTAGCATCTAAACCGAAGTTAGTTTCCCATAGAAAGTCCTCTTGGAAGTCAACTTATTTCACAAACCGCCATTGTGTTGTGTCGCCTTATTTCATCAAACCAAACATGTATAAACAGTTCCATTATTTTCGAAAATAAATTTTATCATCAAATTCATCTGAAACGTTTTGAGTATTTGTTGATACACTGTTTCAATGTGAGGACTTTAAAATATTTAAATTGATACTTCTAGTTCACAGCATACTCGTATGTTTTAAGCTATACAGTACCATCTATTTAATCTTCGAATCATTTTTCATATCAATATTCATATTAATTATATCTTTCAACAGTTTTTAGCAGCGTAACGCCATTGGATTGTTCAGTTTCTTAACAGAGTGAAATAAATTATTCACAGTACAGTATTTGCCACGGGCGCAGTTATATTAGCGGTGCAAAACGAATTTTCAAGAACAGAAATGACTTTCATATCCTATAGATTTCGCTTAGGTCATTCATATTTGTGCCTATTATGATTCATGTTTAGAGTTGTCGAAAGAGGAGTGATGGGAATTTTTCCCGGCCCGGTCAAAACTTAAGTTTCTATCCGTATAAAAATGATGTCGTTTTTCATAACAGAAAATAAAAATGTTAAGACTGCTTTTTGTTGATAAACAAACACTGTATATGGGATGTATAGTTTATGTATACTGTGTGAAGAGCTGTCGAGAACTTGTAGAGCGGGATTTGCCATTTAAAAAAAAAAAAACAAATGAAACGTTTAAAATTGCTGTTAATTGCAAATGTGTGACATAAAAAATGATTACATACAATATTTTATAGCATTCATTGTAAGCACTCTAATATAGTTTTGATTATAGTTTTTTTTTTTAAACAATCGAAATTTGTTTATACGTAAGTATAAAAATAAACTAGACAGTCACCATATAAGGGGCCGTCCATAAATTACGTAAGGGCGATATCGGCCATTCTAGACCCCACCCACCCGTGTGTAAGAAACCGTAATATTTTCATTTCCCGCCCCTTTCCTATCTTACGTAGGTTGACATGATTTTATAAAAAAATTTTAACCAAAAAACTTTTTTTATGAAACCCTAAAAACCTTAGGTCCAAAATATGTAATTATTAATTAATATGTAGGCCTACTATTGTTTATAAAATACTTTATGTGAACAAATTTAAAAATATAAAAATTTAATGAACTCGAATGAACAATTTATTTTAAGAATTTTATTTTTTAATTATTAACAATATTATTATCATTATCATTAATCAACGTCATAATATTCATTTTTATATTAATTTTAATTTTCACAAAAGACAGAAAAAACTTTGCCAGATCGACTAGCTAGTGCACGTGTAAACAGAAACGTCATACAAAATAAAACAAGAGAGAATAGAGAGAAACCACATTTTGTTGCCATATTGATTACATCTTGGCTAAGGCCAAGAAAATAAACTACATGCTGCTAAAATGTGCTAGGTGCACCTGGGGACTAAATAATAAAGCTTGTAATACTCTATATAATGGGGCCTCTGCTACTTTATGCGGCCTCTGGCTGTGGTCAAGTAACTAGTAAAAATTCAGTAGCAAGTAAATTACTCTCTCTTCAAAGCCAGTTTGACATCAGAATTTCAAAGTGCTGCAGAACTGTTTTTACTAATGCCTCTCTGATACTAGCAGAGCTCCTTCCTTTGCCACTATGTATTGTAGAAAAGGTTCTAAACTACTACATCAGAACTACAAACGTCAAGGCTCAACAACGATCTCTACTCCTATCTCCGGCTGTTCATACGCTACCACATTGGAATTACTCTACCATCTCTGATCATCATCCTGTAAACAAGGTTATTTGGTGTCATCTGCTTCCTCCATGGATAACCACGCAGACATTAATATCTACACAGATGGGTCCAATCGGCTCAAGTATCTGTATCTTCCTCCAAACTGACATATTTTGCCCAAAATGTGTTAGAAGAAACTTCCCATATATCTCCATCTATCAAGCTGAAGAATATGCTGACTACCAAGCTGTTCAGTGAACCAGTTCACTACCAAACAAAATTCTGTCTATCAACATTTACAATGATTCTCAGTCTGTCCGAAAAGCTCTATTAAATCCCAATTTCAAAAGCAATAAAATCGCATATATCCAGCATCTTATTAAAAATCTTGTAAATAAGATAACTTTTATATTTGTTCCTGGCCATACTGGCATACTAGGAAATGAAAAAGACGACTTTGAGGCTAAGCCGGCTCCAAAGGACACTGATTTGGACTACACTCACACCCCTCTCTCACGTAGCAGTTTTAAGAACTATATTCATGACAACGCTATGCAAAAGTGGAATCAGTTAAAATAGTTGAGCAGTAAAACTGGTAGAATATCAAGATATTTTCCTAGTATTGAATGCAGGTTCTCATCACCACTTAGAGATTTAACATTTGCTACTGCTCAACTACTTACTGACATGATAATTTTAGAAGATACCTGACGATGTATAACCGGGCAGAAGCTGCTTCTTGCTTTTGCTCTACAGAAAACCTAGACACCGTCGACCATATGATCTATCATTGTCCAATTTATGATCAAGATAGACTTATTCTGAAATTAGTAATTTTTTACGCTTGGTTTCAGGTGGCCACGTCCACTCGATAAGCTTGTTCAGAAACCACTGTTTGATGCTTTTTACAATTATGTTCAACAATATGGAAGAAATAACAATTTATAATTTATAATTTCTAGTTTTACATTTTAGTTTTCACTAAAAGCCGAATACTAATTTTATGTTTACTTTGTATCATGTATTTTAGTTTATGTATTCCTAGTGTTATACACCCATAGGCGTGGTGCACTTATTCTAATAAAAAACAAGAGAGAGAAACCACCACACGGCCTTTCTCACATCACAAAAAATGTGTAGAGCGTGAATCTGCTAGCGTTATTAGTCTATCACGTCACACGAGACAACGAGCGTTCTTAATAGAAACCGCCATATTGAAGCCAAATTCAAAACGCCACCATTCAACGAGATCAAAAAATAAAAATACTACGTAAGACGATCTCTATTACCCCCTACCCCTGAGTAAGAAATCGTAAGAAATCCTTGACTCCACCCACCCCATAATACATTACGTAATTTATGGACGGCCCCTAAGTTTAAATTTAAATTGTACAACCAGTGGTTTTCGAATATTTAGTAATGTAACAAAATATCAATAGTATTTTCCCCTTTCATCATCCATATGAAACTGACTAAAACTTATGTACGTGATTCTTTCACTGATTTCATGTAATTGTTATTTACATGTAGATTAAATTCATATAAACCAATCATATATATAAGTTATGTATTTTTGCGTTGCAAGTTTTATTCAAACATTAATACGACATATGAAAACAAAATCACGTCTGCGGATACAAAAAAGCACGTTATTTTTAATTGGTACCGTACAGATCATACAATTATCACTATTTTTTGTTATTTATAAGGAGAGAGCACGAACGCAGTCCCCAGCTACCACAAATTACACTCCCCATCTGTCCCAGTTTGGAGTAGTGGCAGGGGTTAGCTAGACCCAAATGCAATGGTCAAGCCTCACCCTGGGGGAGCGGCTATCGGTTTGATTTTAAAGTTTATAAATATAAAATAACTATTACAAAATACATGCATAACTCAAGAACAATAATAAACAAAACATACATCAAATAAATAAATAACATAATTTAACTTTTACAATACTGTATATAAATTGATTCAACATCAGAACATAAACTGCGGTTTATATCAACAAAATATATCATCACCGCACAGAAAATACATTCAAAACCCGAAAAAAATATATTAGTATTTATACATACAACAAATAATTATTTACAATATTTTAGTATAACATACAATTTAAAATATATATATACCTGGCAAAATCACAACATATGACTAGATCACTAAGGCCTCACCACTCATCACAAAACAATACTTCATTATTTATTCGAATTATCCTATTGGCTCCTTTATAATATCTATCTAATTCTTTCGATGTCATTTTCTCAAAATCACTAAGAATTTTATATACCGCCTCCTGTTTTATTATCATTATCAAATAGAGCGCACTAACTTTTTTGTTATCAAAAATCACTGAACATATATTCTTCCACAGGGCTCTCTTTATTAATACTAGAATCCAATTCAGAAAATAGCCACTTTGTCCACGTAAGTAATAATTTATATAAAACTTGACATTCTGCCAGGTGATTCGTATTTTCCATATTCTCGAGACCCATCGCCAAACACTCCTTGCTATATCACATTCATAGAAAATATGTTTAATTGACTCAATTTTACCGCAACGTGCACATTTTACATCAGTTCTTTTAAGATACAGTAGTTATAACGAAACAATATCTTTTTACCTATGTTATTCAAAATACGCCATGACACCTCCTCCCTCCACTCTGCAGGAAGGTTATGTATATTTTTCCACGTTAAATTCCAGTTTAAAATACTATTTTAAACTGTTTATGCTTCACCTGTTAATCACCTGTTTATGAATCACCTGGTAGATTGTGCTAGGCCTAATTTTCCCGTTATTTTGTACAATATCGTCATCCTCTATCACTATTTTACTAATTATTTCTCGCCACTTACGAAACTGTTTTTTATTATTAACTAAAAACGGAAAACTGTTCTCCTCCTTGGTAATTTTCTTCGAAATCGCCCTATTATATAACGTATAACATAAAATAACGGGTGTAAAATATTTAACATTAAAGCAATCTGTAGTGAACACTCCAGGTCTTTGATATCTCTCACTCCCCATCCTCCTGCATTTGGATTATTTTTCATTATTTTACGATTTAATGGATGAAACGTACTATCCCATATATATTGAAAAATTCGCTCTTCTATTTCTTTAGTTTCATCTATTGTTAAATTTGTATATAATATACAGTATAAATAAATTTTGGAATAATTGATCTATCAACTATAAACACCCGTTCCGGTAAATAAAACCAGTTCCGTTTCCAAACAATAATATCATCAATTTTCTGTATCATTTCATCAAGGTTTTTTTTCTTGGCATTTTTCCCGAACCATACCCCAAACACCTTCATACTTTCTACATGTCTAAATTTGTCTTGTTTACAACCCACGTTTCCAAAAACATTGAAAATTTTACTTTTATTTTCGTTAAAACACATACCCGTTAAAAAACTAAAATTTTGTAAATGATAAAAAATCCTTTCAAGGCTAAAATTATTAACAATTAAAAAATTCATGTCATCTGCATGTGCAATAAATTTCACTTTTTCCTGGATCCCTGGTACGTGGATCGCCTCAATTAATTTATCTTGTTTTATATTTTCCAGTAATACGTTAACGTAGATCGTAAATAATAACATCGAATTCGGGCAACCTGTCGTACTCCCGCTTTACAATAAATAGAAGTTGCGGCCGAAGTATTCAACACGGAAACGTGTACGTCGAACGTTCAGCTCCGCCTTCCTGAGAGTCTAGAAATTTGACAATGGCGTTTGGTACGTCGATGGAATCATGCTCGACGTTCCAAACGCCATTGTCAAACTTCTAGACTCACAGGAAGGCGGCGCCGAACGTCCGACGTACACGTTTTCGCGTTGAAAACTTCGGCCGCAACCTATTATCGATTGAAATTGCAAAATTTAGATAAATAAAAAGTGCTGGGGTTTTATACAAACGTTTAATTATTTTAATTTCTTCTAGATTTAATCCATATTTTTCCGAAAACATCCACAGAACTGGTCGATTCACTGTGTCAAATGCCTTTTTTACATCCAATGAGAGGATGGAGAGCGGTGTTTCCCACTTAGTATATAAATCTTGTATGGTCTTTAAAAAGAAGAGATTATTTTGTATCGACCTTTGATACCGCCACTCTGAGTGCTCACTATTACATTACTAAAAATCCCCTCGAGACGTTTCGCGACAATAAAACTGTAAATTTTGTAATCAAGATTTAAAAGCGTTATTGGCCTAAAATCTTCCAAACCGTTATCCATATCATCCTTTTTCTGTGATAAAATCATCTTCCCGTGACTAAAAGAGTCACTAAAATCACTACAATTGTAAAGTATGTAAAAAATATCAATAAAATCTTCTCCCAAAAATTTAAAAAATTCCGCATTTAAAAGATCCCTTTCTGATGCTTTTCTATTGTGTAACTCTTGGATCGCGTCTTTTATTTCTTGTTTTGTAATTTCACTATTTAAAATATTTTCTGCTTCATCTTTTACTGGTTCTATATTTCTTGTAATTTCTTCCCCAACTGTATAATTTAACCTCGGATCACTAAACAAGTGAGTATAAAATTTCCAAACTATTTGACCAGGAATTTCCATAAAATTTGGAACTCATTTCCTAGTGAGTATTACAACACGGTATGTACCCGTTTTAATTTCAGTATTATGATACGTATGGGCTATTATGCGTACAACTTTACCAAATTGTGACATTATATTTCTTATTAAGTCTTAATCGGCTTCATTAGGAACTAGCCGAATAGTAACAACTATTAGTTCCGACTCCAGTCTTTCAAACGTATAAAATATACTCTCCTACCTTAATGTCTTTACCTAATGTTCTTACTTTGTCTTCTTCCCTTTTCAGTCCAATTTTCACCACATTTTCAGGACGGAAGCATATCTGCTCGACTTTCCCTGGACCAATCGTTTCCTCACAAGTCTCAATCAACTGTTGAATTTCCACTCGTTCTTTGGTGATTATTCTCACAGATCTCACTACTGAATATTTCACTAAACGTTCTTTTCTTTCTTCCACCATCTTATCCTTCTCTTCTCCAGACATAGACGTCTTTGCTGTCATTGAGCATACTCCAGACGTTACAGATGTCGGACTATCCTGACCCGCCTATTCGTGGGAAGGTCTAACTACACCAGACCCTCCTGGGGACGTCCAGGTAGCCGAGGAACTACACGCCGACGGGGATGGGTTTCCCATCTGGCGATCCATCGTCGAAAAGTGACTCGTCGACGGGATAGGCAATCCCGTCTGACGGTCCAAGCCGACGTCGTCGGCTAGTAGAAGTTAGCAGTCAGTAGAAGTCAGAAACTCACCACAAGATGTACAAACTCTACAAGCTTGATGTGGAAATTGTAAGGCTGTATAATGAAACACTTTGCAGGAAATTTCAAAGGCAACTATAGGTCCACAAAACACAGGTAGGTTCGCACGCACTGAAAAAAAAAACAATAATAAATCTTTACTCTTGATCAATAGGCTGAGAAAGGAATATTTATCTTTAACCTACTTTTTCCATAAAATTTTATAGAAAAAGGACGACAATCATTTATCACCGTCCGTTCTTATCGTTTCGATTCACATCTTGACTACCTTAACTATTAGTGCCGTCTACTGACAGAATAGTCAACATAATTATCACTAGATGGCAACGGTATATACAGAGTGCACGTTAGGAGTATACTGTAGTTTCAAAAAACAGCAAATTCCATTTTTACGGCGATTGGAACCTGTGAATATGGTTGATTTTGAAACTTACCTCCAATTTTCATCCATCCTTTTATCTATCCGTCTTTATATTTCTATTCTAACTCTTCCTCATTCCCACTTTCTAATTGGTCGTCACTCGTTACTAAGTGTAACGATACCTGAATTCAGATCTCGGGATGAGTCAAAATCGACGTTTAATTCGATTCCAACCGGTGATAGTTGATCTTGGGACTTACATTGACTATCGTATTTCCCCGAAAATAAGAGTGTCATATTAATTTTTGCTCTCAAAGATGCGCTAGGTCATATTTTCAGGTTATGTCTTATTTTTCCATGAAGAAGAATTCACATTTATTGTTGAACAAAAAAATTCCCAACTCGAACTTAGACGAGAGTGACGTATATCCGGTCGTATCGAACTGAACTTAAATAAAACCGAAGTGAACTTACAAAGTTCCCGTGATGGAGTGGACTTCCCACTCTCGCTTCAACTTGACCTCTTCATAGCGTCCACATCGGGCTCGATGACCAATTAGTGCTTACTGAACCGTAGCACTATGCAAATGTCATGTGGCGTGATTCCCGGCCGGCCAATTAGCGATCACCAGCCGTAACGTTATGCAAATCTGTGATTCCCAAGCCATAGTCTTATGCAAATTATGCCGTGTGGTGAGATTGTCTGCTGCCCAATCAGTGGCTGTACTGTACTTTCAAAAAGCCAACGGCAACTTTCAACCATCTGTCGATGACCGTTACGAGTAAAAAAACTGCTAGATCTTACTTTTGGAAGCCTTATATTTAGCAATTCAGCAAAATCTCTGCTAGGTCTTATTTTCGGGGAAACACGGTAGTTTTCCTTTGTCTAATTTCTAAGANTCGTGGGAAGGTCTAACTACACCAGACCCTCCTGGGGACGTCCAGGTAGCCGAGGAACTACACGCCGACGGGGATGGGTTTCCCATCTGGCGATCCATCGTCGAAAAGTGACTCGTCGACGGGATAGGCAATCCCGTCTGACGGTCCAAGCCGACGTCGTCGGCTAGTAGAAGTTAGCAGTCAGTAGAAGTCAGAAACTCACCACAAGATGTACAAACTCTACAAGCTTGATGTGGAAATTGTAAGGCTGTATAATGAAACAC